ACACACACACACACACACAGAGTATGCAGTATGGTCAAGTTAATCTTTCACAGTTAATGTATCCATAATTATTTTTGTGGAAAGAGAAACTCAGGACTTAATATCCATACCCCCCCACCCCCACCCCACACACACACACACTCCCAGTAATAGGTTTTTTTAAAGGTTTGATTAATTTCTACACCTTCTTTTTGTCAAAGTTTTGCAAAGGTGACTTGGTATTTTTTGGTTTCTCCATGCCTTGGCCCAGCTTCCACCTTCTCCACTTTGTTGATCAATTTTAAGTGTCTGCTTGATGTATACAAACTTATACTCATCTAGAATGTTTGATCTCTGACAACTCGTACGGTTAAACTTTTTGAACCTTTTTTTTATTTTTAAACAAATCAATAAAAATATACTTACTTTTTTACTAATTTTATTTTTTTTCAAATCCTTCCATAAAATGATAGGTGTGAACAGCAACTTGATACGTTTTAGTAGAAATATTACTATATATCTTATTTTCCAATGAATGAGGTTAAAATCAAACAAGAAACGATGGAAATGTTACCCAGCGGTTAAATCATCGGGATCGAGATGCCTCTCTCACCTCGATACGTATACGGATACGTCAGATAGAACAATCTCTTATATTAATATGCCACCTCAAGAAATGACTAAAGGTATGTTCATAGCTTTCTTTTACTTCTTTCACAACAAAACAGTTCCAAAATCGTTGTTAATAGCCCTACTGGTCCTGAAATTGACACCATCGAAAATGTCGTCCATTTGCAATGCCATCTGAGGTTTACTGAAAGTGACCGAACTCCCCTCCCCAAATCGTTTAAACTTGAAACAAAAGGCTCCTGGGGCACATTGCTCACCTTAGCCCTTTTACCAGAGAAAAGCAGATGATAAGTTTAAATATATGTGGTCACACTCTACTCCCTTGGGGTGATGATGTGAAAATCATGTTTTCCTATAAATATAATCATGCAGGACTTTTGAAAATATAGTCTGGTTTAAAACTTGGATCCGTGTTTTGGCCTCACCTACCTCCCCCCCCCCCCTTGTTATGTTTTGAACAATCTTGAATCTACACGACCTGAGGATGCTTTTATGTTACTACATTTGTATGACTTATCATAGCTTTTCTGTTCTTGAGAAAATGATTTTTACAGATATTTCATATATATTCTTATGTAAAAATTGTGCCCCCACCCACCCCGGGTTCCTAATTTGAACAAACTTGAATCTACACTATGTAATGAAGCTTTCACTTCAGTTTCATCTTTTTTGGCTCAGTGGCTTTTACGATTTTTTTTTAAAATTTTTTTGTTTGTATGTTGTTTAACGTCCCACGATTTTTTTTTAAAAGTTGCTTTTAAAAAAATCTCAAAAACCACTGAACCACAAAAAGATGAAGCTCATTATCGCCCCCCCCCCCAACTTGAAAGAGAACGTGGCCCATGTAACAAACTTAAATTCCCCTCACCCAAAGATGATTTGTGGCAAGTTTGGTTGAAAAGCGATTTTCGAATAAGTGGAAGATGTGAAAAGTTTACAAAAACGAAGATCATTAAAAAGTTTAGGCAGAAAAGTTCACCTGAGCCTTCGGCTCATGCAGTCGAGTTAAAAAGCGTTCAAATTATATATAATTAAATGTCGTCTTATAGTATTTTTCTCTTTAATTAAACACTGTTCCCCAATATCAATAAACGGTATATACGAAGTTATGTTTCTTGGTACATTTTTTTTCTGTACATGAGCATTTGCACAATGTCCTATTAAATTCAAAGGCGAAAGGAAGTAAAAATGGGCAATATACTTACGACAAGGTTTGAGAAGGATGTTTTCTTTGACAGTACTGTTGTTTCGACAAGTCGTGTTCACCCATAGCGGATAACCTGCGTGTATCGTGTGGTTGAATGCTGTAGCTATTATCAAAATTTCATTACTGTAGTTGTGCGAAGTTGAAATATCAGTGTGATGGCAATGTAAATTGTCTTGAACAAATCTACACTCCATAAGATCATTATGGGATGAGTTTGATACAATGTTGATTTTGATATTTTCAACTTCGCATTCAATCCCAATCTCAACTCTCAGATCTTCTGAGTCACAAGTCCCGTCGGAAAGTTTATCGGAATTGACGATGGTTCCAAAAATTCCTTTATGGGAAGAAAAAAAAGTTGTAGTAATACTTGTATAATACACTTATATACATGTATCAATATATTTGTTGTTTACTATATATGTACTATATAATACACTACTACATAATACACTATATATCATAATCAAAAACATTCAACCGGAAGCATACATTAAAACCTTAACTGAAGATTACACATAATATAATTTACAATGTATAATGACAAAAATGAATTACTCAGTCAATCAACAAGAGTTATTTAATGTATTTGTGTCAAAAATAAAATAATTTGAAAAATACTGTCATAGTAAGATTTTTTTATATGAACTTAAAAGTTTATTTTTACAAATTTTATATCTTAAATTCGATTTGAACAAATTTCAAGCTCACCTTTACACTCGCTTATTGAAGGAGATATAATAAAAACATTTACTGAACAAAAATACACTCACCTGTTTGAATGAAAAGAGCTATTCCAAAAACTAAGCCTGCAATCATTCTTAAGGCAACATCTTTGTGTGTATGATGAAATTTGGGTTTCCTGTAAATGTTTGTAAAAAAGTTATTTTTATACCATGAGGTCACTTCTCTATGTTTAGCCTGTGACGTATTTCAGCAATAATTAATTTTATGTGTCCTCAACCCGGTCTTTTTTTTTTTTTTTATCAGTGACAAATATCTAAACTTTGTGTTTTAAAGCTTTCTCGTATTGATATTTTTTTTAACGTCGACTGCATTCCATTGCATACAGTCTAAACTGGGGCGTCAAAGCAGTGTGATTTAAAGTTACATAATGAGTCAAAATCATGTATGTAGAATTAAGAAAAATATTTATTAACTAGATATCATTGAGATGGTGGCCATCTCAAAGGGCCACGCTTTCAGCAACGAACATGAAAATGTAAGGTAGCTGAAAAGGGTTTATTTTGAAGAGGAACACTTGTGTACCATTAAGGGATGTGTTGTTCGAGTCTAAAGGGCTTCTATGTCATCCTTGTTATAATAAAAATGGCACGAAAATCAAGAGTGCTCCATACCCTCTATCAAAAAGCAGCACAAAAATCACAAATGTTGCATATCCTCTATGAACACTATTGCATATATATCAAAATATGGAAGGAAAATCACAAATGTTCTGTACCCTAAATCAATTGGTAAAGTTTGAGGCTGACTGGACTTAAGAGAAAGAAACCATGTACCGAACAAAGATTTTAAACAGAGAGGCTATTTTTGACCTTAACCCTTGACCTAAAAACTTCGTTCAAGGTCACTGCACATCCATTGACCAGTGGCACTGTGAGAGTGAAGTATGAGCCACATTGGACAAAAAGGAAAAAAGATATGCTCTGGATGAGGTTTGTTCATATAATTCTGCTATGACCTTGACCTTAGACCTAGAAACATGTTTCAAGGTCACTGCATGCCCTTTACCCAAAGACACTCTGTGGGTGAACTATGATCCAGATTGGGCCAAGGAGAGAGAAGATATGCTCTGAACAAGAATTTAAGCAGAGAGGCTATTTTTGACCTTGACCCTTGATTTAGAAACTTTGTTCAAGGTCACTGCACATCCATTGACCAGTGGCACTCTGTGAGTGAAGTATGAGCCACATTGGACCAAGAGGAGAGAAGATATGCTCCAGACAAGGATTTTTCATATAATTCTATGACCTTGACCTTAGACCTAGAAAAATGGCTCAAGATCACTGCATGCCCTTTACCCAAAGACACTCAGTGGGTGAACTATGAGCCAGATTGGGCCAAGGAGAGAGAAGATATGCTCCAGACAAGAATTTAAACAGAGAGGCTTTTTTGACCTTGACCTAGAAACTTTGTTCAAGGTCATTGCACATCCATTGACCAGTGACACTCTGTGAGTGAAGTATGAGCTATATTGGACCAAGAGGAGAGAAGATATGCTCCAGACAAGGATTTTTCATATAATTCTGCTATGACCTTGACCTTAGACCTAGAAACAAGGCTCAAGGTCACTGCATGCCCTTTACCCAGACACTCTGTGGGTGGACTATGAGCCAGATTGGGCCAAGGAGAGAGAAGATATGCTCCGGACAAGAATTTAAACAGAGAGGCTAGTTTTGACCTTGACCCTTGACCTAGAAACTTTGTTCAAGGTCACTGCACATCCATTAACCAGTGGCACTCTGTGAGTGAAGTATGAGTCACATTGGACCAAGAGGAGAGAAGATATGCTCCGGACAAGGATTTTTCATATAATTCTATGACCTTGACCTTAGACCTAGAAACATGGTTCAAGGTCACTGCACACTCTTTACCCAAAGACACTCTGTGGGTGAAGTACGAGCCAGATTGGGCCAAGGAGAGAGAAGATATGCTCCGGACAAGAGATCTCGGACGGACAGACTGATCACTATAGGGCGCCCGCAGAGCAGGGCCCTAAAAAAATGAGTATAGCGAAGATGGAACAAACTCAATTGCACTGTAAAGCAAGAAAAGACTGCATAATATAAGTGCCGCAAAAACAAAGATTGTATCTACTGTTTCGTTGTTTTCGAGCATGTCAAGGTCACGCGACTTTTATTTTTAACGTAAACTTGCAAACAACATTGGATTGGAACACTCAAAGGTGAAACATATGTTCTAATAATCTTTTTTGAAGATTGTATAAAAAGTCTTGGTCTACCGACATTCATTTTTTGGTACTTGAGACAAAGGGAATTTTTATAACTTTTCTGCGCACGCGTACAATATGGAGGAAGAAGTGAAGCAATGTTCGTTCTTGGGCCAGACAAAAATTATTTATATCTCCATAAAAGTAGAATTGTTAGGTCACCCAAGTCACTCAGGTGATTATTGCTGTTTTTGTCCGTCATCGTCCGTGGTGCGTCGGGCGTAAACTTTTGAACATTTTCAGCTTCTTCTCTTGAACTGCTGAACCATTTTCAACCCAATATTGGCATTTAGCATAAGTTGGTGAAGGGGTATAAAAATGTGAATTTCATGGTCCCTGACCCTTGGGGCCCCAGGGGGTGGGGCTAAAACAATCAAAATTAGTGCTATCTTTAAAAATTTCCTTCTTCACTCCTAGACATCATGCAGTAAAAATGTTGGTATGAGTTTAATAAACCTTGTGCCCTTTAACAAAATTGTGAAATTCAGGGGTTCTGGAGTTGGGTTGGCTCTAATGATCATTTAGTGAAAATACAAATATTCTTTATAAATCTTCTTCTCTCCACCTTCATGTTTTGAGAATTAACTAGGTGCATGATTTTGATGAGTAAGGTTGCCTATTCTACAATTATGAGATTTTTGGCCCCAGGGTCAGGGGTTTTGGTGTTAGGTTGGGGATCTAATGATCATAGAGTGAAAATGCATATGTTCTTTAAAAGTCTTCTCTTCTTCTCTCCCCCTGTATATTAAGCAGGTATTCTATTTGCATGGTTATGACCAAGAGTGCATCTTCCCAAACTGTGAAATTTGTTGCCCCAGGGTCAGGGGTTCTGGAGTTGGGGTGGAGCTCTAATGATCATAAAGTGAAAATGCATAGAATCTTTAAAAATCTTCATCTCTCCCTTGTATATTTAGAAGATAAACTGGTTATGATGAGCAGGGGTGGCTCTTCCTAAATTATGAAATTCATACCCCCAGGGTTAGAGGTTCAGGAGGGTGGGGCTTTAATGATCCTACAGTGAAAAATGCATGAATTCTTTTACAATCGTCTTCTCTCCTAATGTATATTTAGAAAATAAACAAGGAGCATGGTTATGCCTCTTCTTAAAATGTAAACTTTGTGGCCCAAGGGTTAGGGGTTCTGGAGGGCAGGGCTGTAATGATCATTCAGTAAAAAATGCATATATACTTTTAAAATAGTCTTCCTTAGAAGATAAACTAGGTGTCTGATTATGACGAGCAAGGGTTCCTCTTTCAAAATTTGAATTTTTTTGGCCCCAGAATGAGGGGCTCTGGAGTTAAGGTGGGGCTCTAATGAACAGACAGTGAAACTAAATAAATTATTTGAAAATCTTCTCCCTTCCTGGCTATTAAGTAAACAATCAAACTATGAGCATATTTATGATAAGCAAATTTTCCTCTGCCAAAATTAGAGAGAATAAGAGAGACCAATGTGAGAGGAAATGCAGCTGGTATTCTAATAGTGCTGAAGCACTTTTGTTTTGTTTAATCAAAATGGTATAGTGAAAAATGGGGGCAGGTACAGACAAGGAAAAAAATCCACTTTAAATCTGTTACTGAGTAATAGACTAATTATTTTGTTGATCACCTAGTTTTTCTTGCTTTTGGGCAACATGGCTGTATAGATAATACATCCATTTTTTTTCCTTTTATTTCATATATCTGCGGATCCTTTACAATGTTGTAATATACTCAGGTGACTGTTAAGGTCCCTTGGGCCTGTTTTAGGTTCCGTAATTTTCTGAAACTTAATACTTTCAGTAATTGAAAAAAAAAAATTGCACGGGTCAGGCAAAAATTTCTGTATGTCAATTTTCCCGTTTGTGCTTCACAGTTTCGCTTTAAATATTTTACAATTTGTATTCTACATAAGAACTTAGAAATGTAAACAGATCACCACCTTAACAATATACAATCTTGTTAAAAGTGTAAAATTAATCATCCGATTCCCTTAAAATATATTAGTACTGAATATTAAAGGCTTGCACTGTAAGGGAAGCGTTAAAAATAAACGTGCAAGGTCGATAACCAGAAAGTAGAAATATTCTTTTTTTTTAAAAAGCAATTCCAGCCATTATATTAATGATACGGCATCAATTTTCTTCCTGTACAAAATTCTGAGAGTAGAAAGATTTTTATGTATGACAATTTTACAAGAAGGAAATAGTTGATGAAAGTGAAGGAAATGATGGCTCTTCGTGCCAAAGTCACTTTAAAGTTACAGGCATGAAAGGGGAAAACTGCATACAGACTCTATATAATTAGATGTAGACTGTTTTTTTTATACTAACTTGAAATTACTGTATATCGGCTTGATTAGATAAAAGTTATTGGGTCAATTAATATCTTGGCAATGAAATGTAAAACAGAATAAAAAGTTATTACACATAAGTACTCAAACATTATATATACCTGATTCAAGGATCTCTTTCTAAACCATTGGTTTAGCCACTAACTGATCAATGTAGTTATAATGGCCATTTAAGATGTAATATTCAAGTTGTTTTCGAGACATAAGAATATAGGGTGTTGTTTTTGTACGTAACTCGAAAGTATCGATACAAATACTTATGAAAATGTTTTTTAAGCATACTTCGGAAATTCGGAATGTTCCCGTTTTGCACACATTTGAATTTCAGATACTTAAAAAATGTGTGCAAAATGGGATTTTATCCAGGTAAGATAATTACTTAATTGCTATAGTCTATATCATAGTTATGAATTTGTAGAAAAAGAATGTATGGAAAGAATACAAAGATTTAAATAATTTACTCATTCATTTTATCTTTAGAAAATAATAAAAGGGTGAACTGCGATCAAAATGATATTTGTCTTAATTATCAACTTC